TTTGTCTGTGTTTTCCTCAGTCTGTCTCTCAATCCTTTGAAGATACATAAATATAATTCTTTTGAATTCCTTATCAGAGAGTTCCAATGCTGCGTCTTCCTCAGGGATGTGTTTTGGGTCTGTATCCTGGTCCCTTGTTTCTCCTACTTTATCTTTCTTCTTTGTGTGGACTGTGATGCTCTGTTGTCTCTGAGGCATGTGACATTTTTGTGTTTATATTTAATTGGTGATTATATGTTGGAGTGACTTGCCCACAATTTTCATTATCTTTGTTTTGTTTGTATGTTGTCTATATAGGCAGGGTACTGTGCTGTGCTCCTCTGTTCACTAGTTGACAGCACTTAAAATCCAAAATCGTTGCCACTTGAAAAGATTCGAAATGGCTGTGCCCTTGGTCACTTTAAATATCCAAAATGGCTGCCACGTGTAAACAATCAAAATGGCTGTACCCTCCGAACAGCAGAAAGTCCACAGCTCAGGTTGTCTCCCTCCTTGCTGTTTCCCTTCCTAGTCATAAGCCACCAGAGCAGTTGTCCCTGCAGCCCTTGGTGACCGGGACTGATCTTTGGGTCAATTCTCAGGTCCCAACACCACCTGGAAATATTCAGGCTGTTGGTCTCATCAGAGTAGCTGACAGTCCGCAGCTCCACCCATCTCTGTACTCACTGTTCTCATTCAAGTTTTTCCACTAGTTGGTGCCTAATCCACTTTTGTATACTTCCTTTTAAAGTTCAGGGTTCCAGGATTATCTTCTGTATCTCTGTCAATTGGTTTTTCTTTTCTTTGTTGAAGATGGTCTGTGTTGCTTGTCTGCCTATTCCTTCATCTTACTGGAAGTTTGAGCCCTGGATTTTTGCTGTGTTTATTAACCAGCCTCTATTTGTCATGTGGGCCACCACTGCTTTCAAATCTGCCCTAAACTGTTCTTCTGTGTTTGATATAACATAATGCCATCAATGTAATGTATCACCATACTTGAAATCTGTACCAAGTCCAAGTCTCTCCTAACCAAGCCATGACAGTAAGCTGATGATTTCAAATAACCCTGGGGCAAAACTCTGAAAGTGTACTGAGAACCTTCCCATGTGAAAGCAAACTGTGACTGACTGTTTTCTGAGATTGGTATAGAGAAAAAGGCATTTGCAAGATCAATCACTGAGTACCAGTCTCCTATAGCCTACTGTATTTTCTGCACCTTTGATACCATGTCTGGAACAGCTGAAGCCACCAGTGGCACTACTTCATTTAGGCCTCAGTAGCCTGCTGTCAGTCTCCAGGAGCCATCTGCTTTTTTCACCAGCCATATAGGGCTTTCTTCATCCTGTGATTTATAGTTTTCTTCCCAAGTTTAGAACAGTCCGTTCTATCTTGTAGTTGTCTTGACTTCCCTACCATCTAAAGGGAATTTGTTGGCATCGATGCCCTCAGCTTTTAGCATGTGTTTAATCAAAGCAGTGATTTGAGCAGAGAAGATGGAGGGTGTAGACCATCATGGGATGCTTGATGTTGAAGAGAGGAGAGATGGGAGCATGGGTTTGAGGGAGGGCATTCTGTAGAGACCTGAACATGTCCTGCTACTGATGGGGAGGAGAGATTGCAGGCATAGTGTGGGGAGAGAGGCTGGTTTGTGAAGAATAGTTTCTGACTGTTGGAGGCTAAGGAGCCTCCTAGTTAGGAAGCTAAGGATGGCATCTAGGTAAGAGCTGGCAAGGTGGATGGCAGAGCATTGGCTGTGAAAGAGGGAGAGAGGGGTATTCTCTGGGTTATTTGAGAGGGAGGCAACTTAGATGTGAGGAGGCGTGTGACATGGCTGGACAGTGTATTACTATGACCTTTGATAGTGATAAACAATAGGAAAACATGGAAGAAGTCAGCTTCTCAAACATTCTTCAGCCACAAAATCAGATGATGCTATTTATTGAGGAACAAAGAGACAAGAAAATCTTGGAAAACAAGGAAAGCAAGGATGCCCGCTACAAACAGACCTGTGGGATTTGTGAATATGGATGAAGGAGACCTGGTAACATGATGTCTGGAGGGGCTGTATCTCTTATGATAAGATTCTGCCATCAGTAAGAGAGAAGCCCAGTGTTGCAGTGGCTTAAGCAGACCAGAAGTTAATTCTCTTGTGAAAGTCTAGAGGAAGGAAGTCCAGGGCTCCAGGGGTGGCTCTGTTCTATAAGGTTCTTAGAGGCCCAGGATTTTTTCAGGTTTTTACTCCTCAATCTCTATGATGTGGTCCTTGTCCTCATGGTCTGGGATGATGGCTTGAGTTCCTACCATCATATTCTTGTTCCAGGAAGCAGGATAGAGGTTGGGACAAAGAAAAGGGTCATGTACCATGCAGCTTTTAAGACAACTTCCCAGAAGCTGCCATATTACCCTCTACTGACACCCACTGGCCAGAACTTAGAAACCCTAGCTGCAGTAATGTGTCATCTTTATTCTGGGGCCATGTTTCCAGCCAAAAATCTTGCATTCTATTATAATGGAAATAAGAGAGAATGTATATTGGGCCAGCCATCTTTGCCATGGGAGCCTTACAGTGGGACTGGCTTGTAAGGGTGAGGTCTGAGCAGGGTACTGGGCCTGCCTTCCAATGAGACTGCATTTCTTTTTCTAGGGATGGACAATCAGACTGTTCTGGCTGTCCAGTCATTGTTGGATGGCCAAGGAGCAGTTCCCGATCCCACAGGCCAGAGCGTCAATGCGCCTCCTGCCATCCAGCCATTAGGTGAGTATTATGGATTGAGTTGTGTCCTCTAAAATATGTGTTGTAAATCGTGATTGGGATACCTATGGTTATAATCTCATTTGGGAATGGGCTTTCTTTCTTAGGATAATGAGGCAGTATTAGGTAGGGTGTGTGTTCTGGTCACCTAGTACTGCTCTGACAAGAATATACCACAAATGGGATGGCTTAAACAAACAGGAGTTTATTCTTACAGTTTGAAGGGTTTAAGTCCAAGTTCAAAGTGCCAAGCTCTAGGGGCTAGCTGAAAGCCCTTCAGCCTTGGGCTTCAGCTCTGCCTCCAGCTCCCAGCCCACGGAAGCTAGAGGGTTTTCTTCATTCAGACAGCTGCTGGCTGCTGAGGCTGCCAAGCCCAAGGTTGACAAGTGAAAAGGCACAGTGCCAATGTTACCAAACCACATGGCAGGCCATTAATTCAAGTCCATTGTAAGTCCCAAGGTCGGCAGAGCATGGCAGACTGCTGAGCAATGACACAGCTACATGCAGGATTCAAGTGTGCCATATGCTAGAGACCGATCCCCACAACTTTTGGTTGTATACAGGAGGAAGCAGGCCACATCACTAAGGCAGCTACTCAGCTGCTCACTGTGGAGTCCACCATGGAGCTGATTACCAGTCTCATCATGGGGAATACTACACCCAGCTGCCCAGCCACTCAACCAGGCCCAGCCAACTTGACACACAAACTTAACTACTATAGTGTGTCTTAACTCAGTCTCTCTCTTTCTTATTTAACTTTTATTGTGGTGAAAATATACACAATGAGACATTCACCAACAACTTCTACATTTATAAATCAGGGACATAGATTACATTTTTCATGTTGTGCCACCATTATTGCTATCCTTTTCCAAAATATCCTGCTACCTATCAGCATAAACCCAATGCCCCCCAAACAAAAGCTTCCCCTTTCCCCCTCCCTCCTACTCCTGATAACCACTAATAATCTTTGGTTTGTGTGTGTGTATGTGTGTGTGTGTGTGTGTGTGTATAGTTGTTGTTGTTGTTTGCCATTGAGTCGGCCCCGACTCATAGCGACCCCTCCTTGGGTTTCCGAGGCAGTATCACTACGGAAGTAGGATCGCCCAACCTTCCTTCCAAGGAGTGGCTGGTGGGTTTGAACCGCCAGCCTTCTGGTGAGCAGTCAAGTGCCTTAGGCACTATGCTACCAGAGCTCTCTCTCTCTCTCTCTATATATATATATACACACAATTATAAATAAATAAATAAATTTGTATATATTTATGTATATAGGAGCTCTGGTAGCGTAGTGCCTAAGGCATTTGACTGCTCACCAGAAGGCTGATGGTTCAAACCCACCAGCCACTCCTCAGAAGAAAGGTTGGGTGATCTACTTCTGTAGTGATACTGCCTCAGAAACCCAAGGAGGGGTCACTATGAGTCGGATCTGACTCAACGGCAGTGAGTTTGGTTTTTTTGGATTTATATATATATATATAGGAGCTCTGGTAGCATAGTGGCTAAGACACTTGCCTGCTAACCAGACGGCTGGCGGTTCAAACCCACCAGCCACTCCTCGGAAGGAAGGTTGGGCAATCCTACTTCCGTAGTGATACTGCCTCGGAAACCCAAGGAGGGGTCACTATGAGTCGGGTCCGACTCGACAGCACATAACAACAACAACAACAACAACATATATATGTATGTAGGTAGGTATGCGTTTTTTTTCAACCTGTCTAGCAATTTTCCCTCCCTGCCCCTCCCATCCCTGGTAACCAACAAAGAAAGTTTCCTTCTATGTATAAACCTTTCCTTGACTTTTCACAATAGTGAACTAACACAATATTTGTGTTTGCCCTTCTGTGATATTTAAGTCAGTCTCTTTTGAGATTAAAAAAAGAGCAGATTTCATTTGGGGATTGAAATCAATGTCATGAAACAAAATGTGTATGAACTGTTATATGGAAAATGAATTTGCGTTGTGAACTTCCACCTAAATCACAATTTTTAAAAAAAGGGCTGATTGAACAAGCAACCAAAAAAAAAAAAAAAAAAAGCAGCAAATGAGGGAAGGTAGAAGCCATGCCACGTGAGGTCTCCATGGAACCAAGAGACAGGAGCTGAAAAGAGACAAGGACCTTCCCCCAGAGTTGACAGGGAAAGAGAAAGCTTTCCCCTAGAACTGGCATCCTGAATTTGGACTTCACATCTCCTAAACTGTGAGAATGAATTTGTTTGTTGAAGCCATCCACTTGTGGTATTTCTGTTGAAGCAGCAGTAGCGAACTGAGACAGTGCGTATCTGCTCAGGTTCAACAGCAAGAAGGATGAGCTTCCCCACGAGGAGCAAGTGGGGCTCAAGGCAGGGCTGTAGGCGTGAACTGCCCACTCTGGTACCGAGAATGGCCTCTGGTGTCTGATCCTTTTCCCCTTCCTCCCAGACTGGATGGTGAGGCTCACACCATTCTTTCCTTGCTTAGCTCTGAGGACACCCTCTCTGGATGAGAGGGTGAATATAAAGAGATGGGATTATGACACAGGGAATAACTGGGAGCCCCAATGCCTGTTACCGCTTGCACCTTTGATCTGGAAGTCATTTCACAGCCTCTCTATGGAAGGAACAGTCTGGGCATGAATCTCTCCAATTTATAGACCAGGTGCCTGAGATGTGGAGGGTCAAGGACTTCTTGTGTGCGTGTGTGTGTGCACGTGTGCGTGTGTGCTTCGGGTGCAAATTTACAAAGCAGATTTGTTTGCATTCAGCAATTCATGCACATTTTATTTCACAGCCTGGATTCCAATCCCCAAACAAGGAAAACTCCCCTCCCTGTGACTATGCCTTCCCTGTGCCCTCTTATCTATGCATTCCTGTCTGTCAGCTTTCCCTGTATGTGAATGCTACCCCTCTGGTGTCTCATAGTTGATTGGTTTAATTGGTCTAAGGGGTGTATCTCCTTAGGGTAGGTGGGTGCATCTCCCTGGGGAGGGGGTTCTGCATGTAGATCTTTCTGCTGTTGGGGTATCAGGGACTTCTTTCTAGCCCCATGTGAATCTATGTGTCATTTATTCATTCCACAAACATTTTTGAGTGGTCCCTGGGAACCATGCGGGGAACAGAAAGATATATGCCCAGGTTTAAATCTTTGTTCCCATAGTTCCTGCACCTTGGGAAAGTGAGTTAACTTCTCTGTGCCTCAGTTTCCTCATCTGTGAAATAGGGCTTATATTATTTGCCTCCTAAGGTTCTTGTGAGGGTATTTAGGATTTGGTTTCAGCTGTTGTAATCAAGAAATATATAACAGTGGTTTGTATGGGATTGAACTTTATTTCTCTGTCACATGAAAATTAACGTGCATGCAGGTTAGATATGGTGACATGCAGACCCTTTCTTTCTTGTGGCTCTACTGCCTTCAACATGGGATGGTTGCTCCAGCTCCCACTTTCATTTCCTCATTCCAGCCAACAACATGAAGGGGAGGAAGAGGGAACTAGAAGGCATGCCTTGTGGTAGTTAAGGTTGTGTGTCAATTTGTCTGGGCCATGGTTTTGAGAGGCTGGGCAGCTGGATGTAGTTATTCCCCGTGATGAGACTGGATAATCAGCTCCATGGTGGAATCTGCTGTGAGCAGCTGAGTAGCTGCCTTCAGGGTGTGGCCTTGCTTCTAGTATGGAAGGAGAAGTTTTGAGCACAGTCTCCAGCTTTTTGGCACAGCTGGGTCCTCCCTTTGGTTGAGTCTTCGTCTGTAGTGACCTGCTGTATTGCCTGACAGTTTGGGGAGGGTGTCTGACCTTGAACCGTTAGCCTGCCGTGTGCCTGTTGATCTTGGGACTGTGCCGTTTTACTTGTCGCTCTTGGGTTCTTCAGCCTCAGCGGCCAGCAGTTGCATGAGTCAGAAAAAGCTTCCAGCTCCAGTGGGCCTGGAACAGGAGGCAGAGCTGAAGCCCAAGGGTGAGGGGCCTTCACCCAGCCTCTAGAGCTGGCACTTTGAACTCGGACTTCTAGCCTCGTAAACCGTAAGAGAATAAATCCTTGTTTGTTAAGCCGTCCATTTGCAATATTTCTGTTCTAGCAGCACTAGAGAACCCAAACACGCCCCTTCCTTTTAACAGGAAGTTGCATAGGCAATGTGGTTCTTCTCTTGACCCGTTGGTCAGAACTCAGAAGCCTGGGAAAGGTAGTCTTTAGCTAGGCAGCTATGTTTTCCAATAAAATGTGTAATACTGTATAAGGAGAGGTGCTCTCTGGTAGTGCAGTTGCTTAAGCACTCAACTACTAACTACTAACTGGTGGTTTGAACTTACCAGCCACTCATGGGACAAAGATGTGACAGTCTGCTTTTGTAAAGGTTACAGCCTTGGAAACCCTATGGGGCAGTTCTGCTTTTTTCTATAAGACCACTGTGATTCAGAATTGACTCAATGGCAATGGTTTTTTTTTTTTAATGTAAGAAGAAGTCGCTTTGGTGGCACAATGGTTAAATGCTCAGCTGCTAACCAGAAGGGTGGTGGCTTGAACCCACCACCTGCTCCACAGGAGAAAGATGTGGTAGCCTGCTTCCATAAAGATTTACAGCTTTGGGAGCTCTATGGGGCAGTGCTGCTCTATCGGATAGGTTACTGTGAGTCGGAATCAGTTCGTGGCAATGGGTGGGTGTATAAAAAGGGAAGGGGCTCTGGTGGCACAGCAGTTAAATGCTCAGCTGCTGACTGAAAAGTTGGTGGTTCAAGGGGCTTTGTGGGAGAAAGCCCTGGGGATGTGCCCTTGTGAAGATTACAGCCTGGAAAGCCCTAAGGGGGGGGCAGTTCTGCTCCATCACGTGGGGTTGCTGTGACTCAGGGTCTACTCGATGGCATCCAGTGACAACATGTAAGAGGGAGAGATACTGAGGAGTAACATGCCAGGAGCTTGACACAGTGCATGGCCCACAGTAGGCTCTCAACAATGAATGGTATTCACTGTAGTTAATCATTCATTTCGTTTTTTATTCATTCAACAACCATCCATTGAAGACTCCCAGTGTACCCAGAAGATAATCATAGTTATGCAAGTAAATAAGACGTATTTCCTTCCCTTAGAGGACTCACAGGAGCTCTGGTGGCATAGTGCCTAAGGCATTTGACTGCTAACCAGAAGACTGGAGGTTCAAACCCACCAGCCACTCCTCAGAGGAAAGTTGGGCAATCTACTTCCATAGTGATACCGTCTCAGAAACCCAAGGAGAGGTCGCTATGAGTCAGATCTGACTCGATGGCAGTGACAGTGAGTGAGGGGATTCACAGTCTGGTGGTGATGAGAAAACTGTGATGTTGGAAGTGGGCTCAGAACAAGGAACTGTGGCCACTGGCTTTGGGAAGGTGATATCTGAGTCAAGCGTAGCAAATTGAGTTATATTGAGAGAGGCATCTTGGCAGGGGAAAACAGTGAGTGCAAAGGCATGAAGGAGGGTGATGACGTGGCTCATCTGGGGACTGATGAGAATTCTGAATTTCTCAACTTGAAGTCAACCCACTTTACAATTTCCTGATGTCTAGTCTGACAGAAGCTCTGGTGGTGTAGTGCCTAAGGCATTTGACTGCTAACCAGAAGGTTGGTGGTTCAAACCCACCAGCCACTCCTCAGAAGGAATACTGGGCAATCTACTTCTGTAGAGATACTGCCTTAGAAACCCAAGGAAGGGTCACTGTGAGTTGGAATTGACTGGATGGTGTGACTTTAGTTTTTTTGGTTTAGTCATTTGAAGCGTAGATACACATGGCTCAATATTCTTGTAGGTGTCTGTTGTTTTGAAAGCTCCTAGGAAGCACAAAGTTGACCCTTGACACATGCGTGTTGAATCATAAGATGCCATTCAGATTTGCCTTCTTCATGGGTCCAGCTGCAGATCTCTTCCCATTTCTCTCTGCTCTGCATCCTGACTTATTCTTGCTTTTTTTTTTTTTTTCTCATTTTTCCCTCTCCTGCTGTGGCCTCTTCCTGCCTCCACTCTGCGGTGTGACCTCTAGATGATGAGGATGTCTTTCTCTGCGGGAAATGTAAGAAGCAATTCAACTCACTGCCAGCATTTATGACCCACAAGCGTGAACAGTGCCAAGGGAATGCCCCGCCCTTGGCCACGGTCTCACTGGCCACCAATAGCATCTACACCCCTTCAGCAGCACCCACAGCGGTTCAACAGGCCCCACCTCCTACCAATCGCCAGGTATTCATCTCTTTGTTTATTCATTCCTTCATTCACTCAGCAAGTCTTTTTTGGGCACTTACTATGTGCCAGACGCTGTACTGGGCACTGGGGGTACAACAGAGACAAGACAGACCAAGTCACTACCTGTATGGAGTTGGGTGAGATAGATAGTAGAGAACAAAGGTATAACTATATTCTTTTTGCAGGTTGTTAAGTGCAAGTGGATAGGGGATGCTAACATAGGGGTGGCAGGTTTTGCCATTTTGTATATGGTGTTTGGGGAAGGATTCTGTGAAGAGGTGACATTTAAGTAGAGAAGTAAGGAGGTGAGTGAATGGGTCATGCAGCCAATTTGGGGAAGAATGTTCCAGGTAGAGGGATCAGTAAGTACAAAGGCCCTTGACTAGGAGTGTGCTGGGTTTATTCAAGGAACGGCAAGGAAGTCAAAGTAGCTGGAGCTTGCACAGGGAGACAACTCAGGGGGCGGGGGCAGGACTGCATGGGAAGAAAGGACACAGGGAAGAGTAACTACAGGGAGGAAGTGGGAAGAGAGCCATTACATTGTGGGGAATTGCAGTCAATGTCATGAAACAAAATGTGTATGAACTGCTGTATACAAAGTGAATTCGCTCTGTAAACTTTCACCCAAATCATAATTTTTTTTTAAAAAAAAGGGGGTGGCTGGAGCTGAGTGAGTCGGATGGTGGGAGGTACTGAGTAGGTCAGAGAGGCAACCAAGGAGCTTGATGGATCGTGTAGGCTGTGGGCCATGAGTGAGATAGGAGCCATTGGAAGTTTTGAGCAGATGTGGGACATGGTCTGGTTTACATTTTAACCAGGCCACTCCAGCTGCTGCTTGGAGAGTAGATTTATCTATTCTCTGTTAGGGAGGTTGTTGCTGCAGGCAATGGGTGATGGTGGCTTAACCAGCGAGTGGTAATGGAGGTTGTGAGAAGGGGTGAGATTTTGAAGACGGAGACAACAGGGTTGTGCTTGGATTGGTTGTGGGTGTGACATAAAGAGGAGGCAAGAGTGACTGCAGAAATGGAGTTGCCATTAACTGAAATGGAGAAAACTATGGGGAGAAGATTTTGGAGGGACATCAGGAGTTCAGCTAGACAAGTTGGGTTTGAGATGCCCTTGGACCTCTAAGTGGAGTGGCAAAGACACAAGTCTGGAGGTCAGAGGAGAGGCCAGGCTGGAGGTATCTGGAGATACTTCCAAAGTGCTTAATCAGGAACACAGTTCTATAGCAAAGACACCATGAGTGGGGGGCTTTTAGTGGGTTAGAGAATCTCCCTTATAAAGGAGGCTGAGCATATCGTGGGATGCCAGGTGAGGGTGCCATGTTTCTCCCTGGCTTCCTTTTCTGTGCTTACTCTTTTTATACGTTGTCTTCATCCATTTTGTAGACATAATTCCTTCTATCAAAATGAAAGCATTCACCACTAGAACCTATAGAACATGTAGACTGACATCTTCTAGCTAAAGCCCAGGCATTCGCTTCTTATTTTGGATGTATTTTTTTCCCTTGGTGCACAATCCAGAAGTGTGGCTCCTGGGTCAAATAATAAGACTTTCTCTCTGTCTTCTGGCATGGCCCACTTTCTACAGGACAAGCCAGTTTGTACTGCCTGTTGGCATTAGCTGTTTTAAAATACATAGCTTGATCTGTTCTCTCTGTTTTGTTCAAAATTATAAAAGTAATTTGGGCTCATTATGAACAATGTGGAACAAAACTCAAAATCATTAAAAAAAAAAAAAAAGATGTGTGTGGGGGACCAGGTTTGCTGGTCTGATAGAGCCTGGTGGAACCCCTGAGGCTATGGCCCCTAGCTGTCCTTCAGGTCTGGAAATGAACCCACTCCTGTGGCTTCCAGCCAAACAAAAGACAGGCATATGAGCTGAGTATTTACTTAAGGTAGATACACTCCTTGAAGAGATCAATCATGGGAGAATAGAAGGGCTGTGTATGCACAGGGAGACAGCTCAGGGGGCAGGAGTGCATGGAGGGAAGGACACAGGGAAGAGATAACTATGGGGAGGAAAGGGAAAGAGAAGCTGTTACATTGTAGGGAATTGTAGTCAATGTCATGAAACAAAATGTGTATGAACTGCTGTATGGAAAATGAATTTGCTCTGTAAACTTCTACCTAAATCATAATAAAAAATTAAAAAGAATATCATGATTTTTCTCATTCTTTGGTTATACGTTTTATTAGCAGGAAATATCCCCCCCCCCCCTTTTTTTCCCAGTACAAGGAGAAAAGGAAATCCTTCCAGTTTTGGGCATCGGAATCACTTGGCTTTTATTATTATTATTATTTTAAGTAATATCTTATGGAGTTTTTGGTGAAAGTTTGCACAATTAGGGAATAACTTTAGATTGCAAATAAATGGTTACTGACAAGCATAAAGCCCCTGAGTTGTTATTTGAGTAGACACAATGTGACTTCCCATTTTTCATCTCAGCCTCATGCACAGGACATCATAAAAATGTAAAGGAGCCAGAATCTATAGTGGCTGTCTTGGCTCTAACCTGGGCATTTCCCAACCTGCCCAGGCTGCCTAGGACATCCCGTTTCTGAAGAGGGCCTCTGAGTTCTCAAGCTTAGTTGCTGCTGCCCCCAGAGTTCCCACAGAGACAGGTGACCTAGGAAGATGCCAAGGGTCTATCAATAAAGAAAAACAAAACGTCCTTTACATCTGCTGAGAGGAGCAGGCACTGCATGTTGGTAACTTTCTTTTGAAGCCTGCCTTTCATCCTCACAGACTGAGAGCAATATTATTATTTTTATTATTGCTTTGTTCATTTGCAAGTAATAACGTTTCCCTTCTCCTTTTAAAAAGTTAGAATGTTACAAATAAAGGTACAGTTGACACTCTTCCTCTCCCCTGCCCCCAAGTAACTGTTGAGAGGTTTCCTTCTTGACCTTTTAAGATATTTTCACATACATTTTTAAGTTGCCACAGGAGTAATATAGTATTGCTGTTTTAGAGGGAGTGACTGTGTATCACAAATGGTTAAGCACTCGGCTACTAACTGAAACGTTGGGGGTTCAAACCCACGCAGAGGCACCTTGGAAGAAAGGCCTGGCAATCTACTTCTGAAAGACCACAGGCATTGAAAATCCTATGGAGCATCGTTCTACTCTAACATAACATGTGGTTGCCATGAGTTAGCAAAAACTTGATGACAAGCATTTATATATATATGTATATATTTAGAGTTTTAAAACATAATATGTAATCTGCATATTACTATGTGACTTGTTTTTTCATGTAATACTTTTTACTTGCTGTATAGTATTCCAATTGCCCTTTGTAAGTCCATTCCTCTGTTGATGGACGCTGACGTTATATCCAGTTATATATAGTTATGTCTACTATTGTAATCAAGATTATGCAGAGTACTCCCTTTCCTGGGCTCCTGTGGACATCTTTGAGTGTGAGTGTGAGTGTGCTCTGGGATGGCTATCAGGAAGCATGATTGCTGGCTAGGTCATAGGCTATGTGTCTACCAGGAGGTGAGATTTATTCCCCTCATTTGGTAGATTAGGAGATGGAGGCTCAGAAAGGTGGTGTGACTTGCCCAGGATCACAGAGCAGGGAGCAGCAGAGGTGGGAATGGAACTCAGGTCTGTGGTCAAGAACCCAGATGTTTTGCATCATGCCCTCTGCTTCCTTACAGGGCTACAGACATGTCTTCTGTCTCTCTCTCTCGCTGTCCAGATCTCCACGTACATCACAGTACCCCCATCCCCGCTGATCCAGACCCTGGTGCAGGGCAACATCTTGGTGAGTGATGACGTGCTCCTGTCCGCCATGTCAGCTTTCACATCCCTGGACCAGCCCATGCCGCAGGGCCCCCCGCCTGTACAGGTAAGGAGGGAGTGGGCTTCTCACAGGATCTGATTCCAGGCCTGACTATTGACTCCCGTGGTTTGAGAATCTTACAGAAAGAAGGCAGCTTGGCCTGGCCTATCCCACACGGTGGGAGACTGTCAGCTTTCCCTTGGGCTAGCTGTGCTGGGAGTGGGGAAGCTGCCATATTCAGGAAAGGACCCAGAACTTGACTTAGGGGTTTCACAACCATAGTCCAGCTGTTGTGTGTGTGTGGTAAATAGATACATAACAAAACATTTGCTGTTTCTGCTGTTTCCAATTGTACAGCTCAGGGGTAGTAATTATGCTCACCATATTCAGCCACCACCCTCATCCATTCTCAGATGTTTCCATAATACGGTCCAGCTGTTTTGACTATTTTTATTCTTCACAAAACATGGTTGGTCCATGTCCATTAGAAGATATACAGAATAAAAGTAAAAAAAAAAAAATTTAAATCGTTCATAATTTGGAAACTAACAAGTTATGGCAACTCACTACAATACGTAATTCTTGGCTGGATCTCAGCTCAGGGAAAAAAACACCACAAAGCTGAATATTTTAAATAATAGTATTGTATCAAAAGGAACCCTGGTGGCGATGGTGAAGCGCCCAGCTGTTAACCAAAAGGTTGGCGGTTCGAATCCGCCTAGCTGCTCTGCAAGAGAAAGACCTGGTGCTCTGCTTTCATGAAGATTACAGCCTAGGAAACTCTATGGGGCATTTCTGCTCTGTCACATGGCATTCCTGTGAGCCCAGATTGGTTTCTTGGCACCTAATAACAATAGCAACACAGTTCTGTATCAATATTAAATTTCCTGAGGATGATCACTGTGTTATGGTTATGTAGGAGAATATACTTGTTCTTAGGCTACAGATACTGAATAGAGTATTGAGAAACAAATGGTATGACATTTGTAACTGACTGTCAAGTGGCTCGGAGACTCTATCTATCTATGTGTATGCATGCATATAACTATATATATGTGTATGTATGTATGCATGTATGTGTGTGTGCATATATGTATGCATACATATGCACATGCATGTGCACACACACAGAAAGCAGATGTAGCAAATGGTAATAATTGGTGAACTAGGTGAAGTGTGAAGGGTGTTCAGTGTACTCTTACAGACTTTCTGTGGGTTGGAAATTTTTCAAACTAAAAGTTGGGGAAATAAATAAATAGATCACCTATACTCCCACAAAGGAGCCCTGGTGGCATAGTGGTTAAATGCTCAGCTGTTAACCAAAAGGCTGGTGGTTTGAAACTACTAGATGTCCATGGGAGAAAGACGTGGCTGTCTATTTCCAAAAAGATTCACAGCCTTGGACACCCTGTGGGACAGCTCTCTTCTGTCCTCTAGGATCACTATGAGTCAGAATCGACTCGATGGCATTGGGTTTTATACACTCCCTTCACCCAGAGAAAACACTACCAAAATTTTGGTGTATCACTTTCCTGCCCTTTGAATATAGATAGAGGTATAAACAGCTTTTCATATAAATATATTTACAATATGCATATCTACATAAATGGGACATGTTATATGTATTGTTCTGAACCTCTTTTTTTTTTAACAATTTCTACATGTACAATTCAGTGACATTGATTATTTTCTTTTGAGTTATATAGCCATTCTCATCCTCTTTTTATGAGTTGTTCCTTGTCCATTAACAGAAACTCATTGTCTCCTAAAATTCCTATCTAATCTTTTGAGTTGCTGTTATCAATTTTATCCCATATAGATAGTTCTTAAAAGAGCGCAGTGCTCAGAGCAGACCTTTTCTGCTAGTTAAGCTAAACGTTGTTCCGTTTTAAGAAGACTTCAGGGGATATTTTGCATTTAAGGTTTAAAGATTATCTCAGGGTAATAGTTTCAGGGGTTTATCCAGCCTCCATGGTTCCAGAAAGTCTAGAGTTCATGAGAATGGAAATTCTGTTTTACATTTCCCCCCTTTTGATCAGGATTGTGATTGTTATGTGGACTCTTTGATCAAAATGTTCTGTATATGGTAGCCAGGCACCATATTGTTCATGGAGGCAGTTAGCCGTACGTCCCATCCTCCTCCTATTCCTGACTCTCCTTCTTCCTCTGTTGTTCTAGGTGAATAGAGACCAATTATTGTGCCTTGGATGGCTGTTTGCAAGCTTTTATGACTATACAGTGAACTAGGTGGTATAGAACAGAAGCACTAAACATATTATTAGGCCAATTAACTGGGATGTCCTATGAACCATGACCCTAGACCTCCAAACCAAGGAACCAAATCCCTTGAGGTGCTTGGTTGGACATAAGCAGCCTCAGTAGTTAATTTTTGTTGTTCTTGTTGCATACTTATCTTTGCCTTTCATTTAATGTCATTCTCTGTCTATGGCTGTAAACTCTATATCAGCATTTCCTAAAATGTTCCTTGAAACAGTGGCTCTTTGGGTTTTCCAGCAGACTGAGGTCCACTGGTCGAACCTGCACAGGGTGGAGGCAGTCTACTCCCCTCTTGCTCTGTCCTGGGTGTTTCCCACAGCACAGAAATACTTTTATTTTTCAACACAGACCTATCCCCAAACATGTTTGACTGTGGAATCTCTTCCCCAAGGAACAGCAATTAATAATAATTTATTTACAAGATACTTGACTGCTAACCAGAAGGCTGGCGGTTCAAACCCACCAGCCACTCCTTGGAAGGAAGATGGGGCAATCTACTTCCATAGTGATACTGCCTCGGAAACCCAAGGAGGGGTCGCTATGAGTTGGGTTCGACTCGACGGCACATAACAACAACAACAACAACAACAGCAGTCAATATCATCATTTAAACAATTCCAAAGAAAAAAGCCTCATCAGATGGGGTCTGGAGGAATCCAGGCACAGGTTTCCAGAGTCCTGTCTCCACAAGACACATTTCTTCCTCCAGTAGCGGAGGGCAGCGACATGGTCTCAGTGTTTATGCCCAGTTAAGCCTGCTTAAGACTCAAAGTCCAGAGTTTTTATTGAGGATGTGGGTGACCAGCCTCATGACCAAAATTCCATACTCAGAAAGGAAGGAGGTATTCAGTGTAAATCACACTGTGTGTACAAACAATGTAGGCTAGAAGGTATAGTATGGTTCAGTGCCACGTGTGGGTAAAACCACCTTATCAATGCTGGCAATGTACCATAAGCCAAGCTCTCAGATGCCAGTCAAGGGCCAGTCCTGCAAGCAGGCCCTTCTGAAGATAGCAGTGGCAGGCCTGCTATGTTAACTCTTTACTGGACAGGCTGGGCCATTTCTGCCAACTTCTGTGAAGAAAAGAGATGATGGCACCAGGCTGGTGCCTCCTTGGAATCCTCCCATGATTTTGTTTCTATGTCCCCGCTCAGCCCCATCCTTTGAGCTGTCTGATGAACATGTTCTCCCACGTGTCCCTGATAAACAAGAGAGCTGGTATCAAGAGGCTGTGCTCATTTTCTCTTCATTTCGATTTCAGAGCAGCCTGAACATGCATCCTCCGCCCAGCTACCTTAGCCAGCCTCCGCCACCTCCTCCACCCCCTCCGCCACTGCCCCCACCCCCACCTCCCCAGCCCCCGCCGCCTCCACCCCAGAGCCTGGGCCCCCCTGGGCGTCCCAACCCTGGTGGGAATGGCGTGGTAGAGGTGTACAGTGCCGCTGCACCCCTGGCTGGGACCGGAACGGTGGAGATCCAGGCATTGGGGATGCAGCCCTACCCACCCCTGGAGGTGAGCAGAGGCTGGGGTGGGGAGGAGGGAGGACAGTCATGAACATCATGGGTCACCTTGACCTTTCCTGAACACCTACTGTGTGTTGGGGATACTGTGGGAAGTAAAACCAGACCCAATCCTCACAACAACCCTAGGAGAGAGGGTACTCTGGTTAGCTCCATTTTACAGATGAGGAAACTAAGAGAAGTTCAAAGATTTGCCCATGGTCACTTGGCTGGTAAGTGGCCATGATGAATTGAACCCAAGCGGCCTGGCCCAAAGCTGTATCTGGCCTATTGGCTTCATGAAGTTCTGAGGAGTCTTGGGGATGATTGTGGTGACCCAGCCAGGTGGAGAGGTTAGGATGGTGGGTGTAGGTGGGGAGTGGTTGAGATCAGCCAGGGCCACAGAGAGGGGTCCTTCTGGCTGGGACTCTTCTCCGCCCCTTCCCAGGGCTCTTTCCCTGACTGCACTGTCCTTCTAGGTGCCAAACCACTGTGTGGAGGCTCCAGTATATGCCACCCCCCCGGTGTACAGCCCAGGCAAACAGGGATTCAAACCGAAAGGACCAAACCCGGCTGCCCCCATGACCAGTGCCGCTGGGGGAACGGTGACCACCTTCAACTCTCCACCAACGCTGAAGACCCGACGGGCCAAAAGTGGCAGTGGGCTCCCAGAAGGTGAGCCCCCAGCCCTCCACGGACATCCTTCCTCAGCATCACCCTGTTCACAGGGTGCTTAGGTTTAGTCTTTCCTTTTATGGTGGTTAGGAATAAGTTTGACTGCATATCATGGAAAGTCCAAAACAACAGTGACTTCAAAAATAGAATGTTGTTTTCTCCTGGGTGAAACAAGGCAAGAGGCAGTCTGGGTGTGACTGTATGGTCACCAAGCACCCATGTTTCTTCTTTCTTTCTGCATCTCCATCCCTAGTGCATGGCTTCTCGTATCAGAGTGCCTCATTGTCTAAGACGGCTGCAGGAGCTCCAGTCATCAATTGCGTGTTCCAGGCAGTAAGAAGGAGGAAAAGCAGGAGCTGCGTTAGCTCTCTGCAGAAATTCTGAATGATACTTTTGCTTGCATCACATTGGTCAGAACTTAGTCACATGGCCATACTGAGCTGCAAAGGAAACTGGGAAAGGTCTCTGTTAGCCAAGAACACTGATGTTCCTATTAAGTAGGGGGTTTGTGAAGAAGGAAGAAAAAGAGAGTAGATACTGAGAAGGCGAGCAGCAGTGTCTGCCACCACTTTGGAGATGCTAAGTATGAAGGTGAAAGGGAGGGAAACAAAATTTTTCAGGGGCTTTCCAGTCAACTGATTTCCTTAGTTCCTTCCTTGTTGCCAGACATTAGGGATCCAGTATCTCAGTCCATGATTTCTCTGCCCTCATGTTATTCACAGTTTAGTGAGAAAGACAGGCAGGGAATAAATTAACATTTATGACTTGTGAAACTGTGGTGAGAAGGAGATGAAGAGGGTGATGTGACTGAGAATAGGGAGCCCTGGTGACACAGTGGTTAAAGCGCTCAGCTGCTAACTGAAAGGTTGGCTGTTCTAACCCACCAACCGGTCTGCAGGAGAAAGATGTGGCAGTCTGCTTCTGTAAAGATTTACAGCCTCGGAAACCCTACAAGGGCAGTTCTACTCTGATAGGTCACTATTGGTTGGAATCGACTTGATGGCAGTGGATGGGTAATTGAGAATAAATGTGGGTAGTTAGGGAAAGGAAGTTACTGAGATAGAAAAGACCTCTCTGAGGATGAGAAGAAAGCAGAGTTATGGATACCTGAGGGACAAGCATTCCAAGCAAGGGGAACAGCATGTGCAAAGGTCCTGAGGTACAGCTGTGCTTAGAATCTTCTAAGGATTAGCAAGGAGTCCACTGCAGCTGGATGGAGGGAATTGAGGAGGTTGGCAGGAAGCCCAGGATGCGGAGCCCTGTGGGTCATAGCAGGTAGGATTTTATCCTGGGCAGAGGGGAGCCTTTGAGAGCTGTGTCCTGCTCTCCTAGCTAGAGCATGTCCAGAGGGGTTTCCCTCCCCCGGCACTGTGAGAGACTCCCCAGTACCTCTTTCCTTGCTTGTCCAGGGATGTAGACCTCCTGGTGGGAGGGGCTCTCTGGCTTCATGTCCAAGGCGTAGAGTGCCTACAGGCTGCCCCTGGCTCCTGTGCCCCCAACCTCACTGTTTCTCTCCTCCCATCTTTTTCAGCTGCGGGGAAGCCAAAGGCTCAGAAACTCAAGTGCTCATACTGTGACAAGTCATTCACCAAAAACTTTGACCTGCAGCAGCATATCCGAAGGTACCCAGCCATGGTGGGGCAGGTGGCCCTTAGGAAGCCCTGGCTAGGGGGCCCTGTGCAATGGAAGCTAGGCTCTCTTCTTGTCTCCCAGTCTGGGTGGTGGCCAAGTACCATCTGTCTTGTCACAGTTTTCAGGCCTCTGGTCCAGACCAGGATGGTTTTCCCTCTTCACTCAGGAGCATGGGAAGGCTCTGTGAAAGTTACAGGGGCTGCCCACTCTGATGGGGTAGGTCACAGCAGTGGGAGATGCAATTTGCTTGAACTGGTAGAGGCTTTGCAAGCATGAGAGAAATGCCTCGTTCATCGCCTCTGCAGAAAGGGCTGTCCTTCAAGCTCTCTGCTCAGTGCAGGACTAACCATGCCACCTCTTGCCACCAGAATATGTGAGGAGCTCTTCTGGGCCTCAGATTTTCCATCTGTAAAATGGATGGATGAACTCGTTCAGTGTTTCATAGAGTGAGAGTCAGTGGTACATGGGATGATTTTATTTTATTTATTTATTTTTAAACTTTTATTGTGATTTGGGTGAAAGTTTACAGAGCAAATTCATTTTCCATACAGCAATTCATATCCATTTTGTTTCATGACATGGCTTGCCATTCCCCACTGTATAACAGCTCTCTTCCCACTTCCTCCCCGTAGTTACCTCTTCCCTGTGTCCTTCCCTCCCATGCACTGCCACCCCCTACCCCACGTTGTCTTCCTGTGCAAACACTGTCCTTCTGTTCTCTCACGACTGATCGCTCCAAGGAGTGTATCTACCGCATAAATGTTCACCCCATATGCCTATCTGTTCTTTGGCTGGAAGCCACAGGAGTGATTTCAGTTCCAAACCTGAAGGGTAACTAGGGGCCATAGTCTCAGGGCTCTTACCAGGCTTTATCTCCCTAGTCTTCTTTTTTTATGATTTTGAGGGGTTTTTTTGTATGTGTGATTTGGGTGAAAGTTTACAGAGCAAATTCACTTACAGAGCAGTTCACATACTTTGTCTCATGATATTGATTACAATTTACCACAATGCAACAGCTCTCCTCCCACTTCCTCCCCATAGTTACCTCTTCCCTGTGTCCTTCCCTCCATGTACTCCTGCCCCTGAGCTGTCTCCCTGTACATACACAGCCCTTCTATTCTCCCATTACTGTTCTCTCCAAGAAGTGTATCTACCTAGTGTAAATGTTTAGCTCATGTGCCTGTGTTTTGTTTGGAAGCAGCCACAGCAGTGGATTCAATTCCAGACCTGAAGGGCAGCTAGTGGCCATAGTTTCAGTGGTTCTACCAGGCTCTATCAGACCAGCAAACCTGATCCTTTTTTTATTTTTTTTCCAAATGATTTTGAGTTTTGTCCCACATTGCTCTGCCACTCTATCCAGGATCTCCTACACCAATCGCCCTTCAAGTGATTGACAGTGGTAGCTGGGCACCATCTAGTTCTTCTAGTCTCATGGTAATAAAGGCTGAGGATCACATGGTGTACCAGTCCCTTGGGCTAATTGTTTCCATGTACTTTTGGTTTGCTTCATTCTTCTTTGTTCTGGATGAGGAGAGACCCATCGTTGCAACTCGATGGCCACTTGCAAGCTTTTAAGACCCCAGTCACTACTCACCAGAGTAGGATGTAGAACAATGTCTTAGTGCAGTATGTTATGCCAATTGCGCTTGGTGTCTCCTGCGACCATGGTCCCAGGCCCACAGGTCCAATTACTCACTCCCTCCAGGTAGCTGGCTGTGGCCAAGAAGCCACCATAACCTTGTCCCTTGTCAGCTCTACCATACACCCAGGCATTTTTATAGCACATATAAATATGTGTATAGACACATTGTCTGCCAATCCTATACATGATCATGAGCACACTCATGGGATGATCTTAGGTAGTTTATGGATACAGTGCTAAAAATTTCTAAGCGATAGTGAGAAATTGATTCCCTTTCCAATTTCTTTCCATCCTTAGAGAATCAATATGGTGCTAGTCTATCTAACACCTCTCACTTGATAGTCTCCTTTTATAACAAAGAAAGAGAGAACTCCAACCTCAGATGCCACTGTGACAGGCAATGGTTTCTCTGCAGACTGGGATTTTCAACCTTGGCATTATTGACATTTTCAGTTAGATGATTCTATGCTATGGGGGCTGTTCTGTGCATTGTAAGATGTTTAGCACATCCCTGGCCTCTATCCACTAGATGCCATGAGAACCTCCCCTCCTCCCTGCCTTAACTATGACAACCAAAATTATCTCCAGACATTTCCAAATGTCTCCAGGACACAAAACCAACACTAGTTACAACCGCTGGCCTCGATTAGTGCTGCCCAATAGAATTTTCTGCAATGATAGGAATGCTTAAGTCTTGTGCCGTCCACTATGGTATCTACCAATTGTATTTAGCTGTTGAGCACTTACGTTATAGCTAGTGTGACTAAGAAGTGGAGTTTTTCATTTTATTTAACTTAAAAAATGTAAATTTAAATAGTGACGTGTGACTTGTGTCTACCATATTGAACAGTGAAGCTATAGATCTTATTAACTTTCTTTTATCGTTATTGTGTTTGTTTTTTAGTTACTTTGTGTCTATGACAATAGATTGTCTATATACAACAATAGTGAGAAGCTTCTTTTTAAAGTTATTGTAAGTTTTCAAAACCTTTAAAGAAAAGTGAGTTGATTTGAGGAAAAATATTAAATAATGATACATGTGTTATGTTGTATCAGCTGAAATGTATTCTCCCACAAATAACCTAAATCCCCATTGAAATGGGTTTGAACACTTAGGAACTGTATTATTTTATAGTAGGAGATGATCACAGGCCTGGTTGATTCAGCAGCTCAGCAATGCCATCAAGAACATTCCCCACCATTATGTTGAGTGACATGGGCCAATCACAGAAGGACAGATATTGTATTCATCCATTATTGTAAAAAGTCAAGGAAAGGTTTATATATGGAAGGAAATTTTCTCTGTTGGTTACCAGCGGTGGAGGGGAGGGGAAGGAACACTGTTAGAGAGTTAGATACAGGTATTGATTTGGGGGAAGAGAAGGGCAACGTACCAAATGTGAGTGATCAACACGGTGGTATTGAGGAAGAGGAAGACATAAATAGAGAGGGACAGGGAAGGTACAGACAACAAAGACGAACCCTTTTGCACATATAGTACTGCATTGTCAGTGATGGCAAACATTGACATACGGGTGGATAGATGCGTGGATAAGCTGAGCAATTAGGTATGTCTATACAGGGGGGAGTGTGCCTGTGACCATGTATAGGGTTGGCAGACAGTGTTTCTACAAGTATATTGGAATGTTCTGTAAGAATTCCCAAGTATATAGTAGAGCTGACAAGGGACAAGTTTGTAGTCACTTCTTGGCTACAGCCTGCTACCCAGAGGAAGCGAGTAGTTGAACCTGTGGGCTCAGGGCCATAGTCTCAGGACATGAAGCTCAATTGGCATAACGTACACACAAAACATTGTTCCACATCCTACTTTGGTGAGTAGCAACTGGGATCTTAAAAGCTTGCAAGCAGCCATCTGGATGCAATGATGGGTCTCCTCTCGTCCAGAGCAAAGAAGAATAAAGAAAACCAAAGATGCATGGAAACAAGTAGTCCAAGTCACTGGTACACCATGTGATCCTCAGCCTGTACAATTATGAGACCAGAAGAACTAGATGGTACCCGGCTACCACTGTCAACCACTCAGAGGGGGATTTATGGACAGGAGATCCTGGACAGAGTGGGAGAACAATGTGGAACAAAACTCAAAATTATAAAAAGACAGCTTGGGGGCAGGAGTGCATGGGAGGGAAGGACACAGGGAAGAGGTAGCTATGGGGAGGAAGTGGGAAGGGAGCTGTTGCATTGTGGGAAATTGCAGTCAGTGTCATGAGACAAAGTGAATGTGAGCTGCTGTATGCAGGGTGAATTTGCTCTGTAAACTTTCACTCAAATCACAATAAAAATTAAAAAAAAGAAAAAAGCATTCCTCAGCATGAGGACTTGTGTTCATAGTATCAGGATGTTGCCTGCAGCATCTGGCTGCTCTGTCTTGGCCTTCCTGGTAGCTGTGAGCACCTGAACGGAAGCCACATCTCTCTCTCTGTAAGAGCGTGCTGACAAACCTTTTCTCTCACAGCCACACCGGTGAGAAGCCATTCCAATGCATTGCATGTGGCCGTGCCTTTGCCCAGAAGTCTAATGTCAAGAAACACATGCAGACCCACAAGGTGTGGCCCCCAGGGCGCAGCGGTGGCACTGTGTCTCGGAACTCTGTGACCGTGCAGGTCATGGCCCTGAACCCCAACAGGCAGGAGAACGAGGAAAGCACAGGTGGGTGGAGATGGGGAATGCCACCTTCCTCACATCTCTCCCTGCAGCCTCACAGGTTTTGTTGCTAGCTGTGTGCCCTTGGGCATCCTCCTTAACCTCTCTGGGCTTCATTTTGCTTATATGTGAAATAAGGCATAGGACAAAAGGAGGGACAACAAATATACTGTACGTGTGGCATTACTCTAATCTGTACCATGGCAGAAATCATTCATCGGCCACCTGTCTTTTCTGCTGAGCCTGGATTCCCACCTTGAAATTTATTTCAGTCACTATCAGTGGATCAGGATTTGAAACCTATTTGACCTCTGTGGACAGATGGTCTCTCAGGCCGTTAATACTTTGTGTGATTCTCATTTGAGCCATCACTTGTCCTTGAATGAATGGTCCTGTCCTTGACATTGGTTTAGTCCTCTCCTACATGGGGGAGGACTTTATTAGGTCTAGAGAAGTATTGTCCAAGAAATAT